CACCACCTCGTCAGTTCTGACTGAGAGCCCCGACCCGGACCTCCGCGGTACGATGATGACGGACTCCGTAATCTCGATTCTCCCTGCATTATCGGCTCGGAGCTTATTGAAATATCATCCCTTGGCGTCGACTTCATGTTTCAATTGCTTGAAGCAGTCCTTGACCACAGCCCCGATCGTTCCGCAAGTTTGAGGGGAGGCTCGACCAAGAGGATGGATCCGGCGATACGATATAAGCTTCAATTACTGAAAAGGGGTTTTCTTTTGCCTTTCGCGAAGTCTCTGTGCTGCATGTCACAATCTCAGGATATTTAAAATTGATGATGTATCTTCAGGTCAGAGTACAGAAAATGGAGCCGCTTCGAGGGAGAAGACAAAGAGATGTAACAAATACTCAAATGGTCATTGCTTGTCTCTCGTGAGCCGCCATCGATCAAGTCGATCACTGTGTCTGAAAAATGCTGATAGGTGCATGAGCGACTCTGACCTCGTCGATCTCGCAGTACGTCCTTAGAGGAGGAAGCAACCACGTAGAATCATTCCCCATCCCCTCGGCTGGACTTGGTCTTGCGGATGATTGATATCGCAGCGGAGTCGAGTGTCCCGACCGCGATAATTCGATCCAATTCTGCGTTGGCGACTTTGGACCTTCCATTCTCGGATCCCTCGTCGCGGCTTTCGAGAGGTGTTTTGAAACTTGGCGGTTATGACCTATCAATGAGCGCCTTCATCGGCTCAAGACATGAATTTCCGCATACGCGATTTCGGCTTCTGGGTGTGCCTAGAAAACGTGCTAGAATTGTAGCAATGCTCCATCCCGAAATGCCTGGTATCCGCATGATCCGAGCAGTCTCAGAGCGACGAAGGCTGATTTCGATTCTTGTGACGATGGAAAGATGGTTGATTTCCGAGCTGGATCACAGAAATCTGGCTTCCGGCTTGCGAGCGCAGAGGGAAAAATTTCGCTTGAGTCACTCTTGTTATGCGGTTGGGTCGGCACGCGCTGTCCGACCGAACGTCACTTTCGGACAAGACGAGAAGACAATTTTGTGGCCATCCGAGAAACCTCTGGTGGAAAATTCGAATCTAATCTAGATGAGGGCTGGGAACTGTCTTGCTTCACGGCGTTCAGATCTGCGCTCACTCGGGGCTGCAGTTATGGTGCGATCTGATCCAGGATTCCCACGCTGTGCGGCAAAGGGATTCTCGGGTCGATCTTCGAGATCCTTCAGCAAACAGGACAATGATTCCTTAATCGAATTTCCTTCGAAGCTACAGAGTCTTCATGTTCCGGAAATTGAGAATGACCGGATCTTCCCTCGAGCCGGGGGAGAACCGTGCAGAATAGTCGGAATTCATTCGGTCCGGGCTGCTTCTCGGAACGTACAATGGATATTCTAAACCATCGTCAATTCAAGCGATGAATTTCTCCTACCTAGCTCGACAGAGCGAGAAAAGGCTGTGGTGTCTTATGCATGCGTAATGCCCACAAAGACATCGGAGCGATTTACCATCTCCGTAGACCACTTCAACAAATCAGACCTCGGGTAGAGAGGCAATCGTAGAACACATACATATGTGACCGCGAGTCCATCTGACTATGCTCCCCGCATACAGCGCTTCAAAATACGCCCGATCGTATGAAATGAAAGGTGTTCCGCGTTGACATTGAACAGAGCACAGGCCAGCGGAACACCTGGAGGACGGCCCTATGATGAGCCGCTCCCAGACAATGGTTTTTGCATGGACTTGGAGGGATGATTTTGTTGTACGAAGCCTTTCTTGATCATTATTCCTGAGTGATTGCCTCGGTGAAAACTCATCCACACATGTGGAAAACAATAATTGTAATAATTAATTTGTACTGTGAGTGCCCTATTCGCTATTTGTTACGTCACGGCAGCCCAGAAAATGCACAGGCTGTCAAACAACAGCAGCGAAAGCATGTGTCGTCGCGCGAGAAACAGACGGTCTGTGCGTCCGTCGTGTGGGAAACCCCACGCTCCGTCACAGGACACAACACCACTCTGATGACCGCGGAATAAAGCTTCAGATGAATTCAATAACTACATGATGAGTCGATTCCTCCGCCGGGCCATATTAAGAGGGTAAAGAATTCCTCACTCCCGTTTCCGTAAATTGTGGAGACGATTTTCGGCTACGGAATAGTTTTCCGCTCCTAGCAAGTTCGGGGCAAACGTATCTCAGGGAGCGGCCGACGTTCATCGGTCGATAGTCTACTTTCCGGAGCTTGGGCTATGGCTCCATCTACTGGCTTGACTCTCCGCTGGGTTCTAAGATTGGAGTTCGTCAATTCGGGCTTAGGCCAGTAAACCCACGCAATCACTGTATATACCTACGTCGACTGCGGTCCATTTGTGGAAAGTATATGCGTGACTTTACCTGACCGAGAGTCACGATCTCCGAATCGATTTCACAAACCCCCCAAAGAGGCCTGGATATCGTCCTTGGCAATTGGAAGAAGTCAATGCTTGTGCGTTGCTTGTATCAAACTATCAAATAAAAAATACTGCATCCACTGAGAGGAATCACGATTGCTATCGCTCGAAAGATTCGTGAGAAGGACTCAATCGCTCAGCCTTCGCCGTTGTTCTGTTTCTCGCTGACTGGAATCAGGCGGGAAATTCATACACATACTCCGGACTCCTCGCGGAATCGCCAATCGGGGGAGCCGTTGCCGTGAAATTCGATCACGATCGCGTAACGTCCCGGTGTGTCATTTCCTGGGGCACATCGGCTGAACTATTGCTTTGTGACGATCCCCTGGACAGTATCGAGAAATCGATACATCCGCCGAAGAATCTTCGGGCACCACCCACGCTGTCCAACCGGACGCGTTGAGCATCAGAAATGAATCGGATCTCGATCAAGTTCGAGATTTCCCCAGCTTCCGGCGCCGAATCCTTCCTTGAGACCGGGGTGATCTTTCGCACTCGATGCATGCCGGGAACTTTGAGAGGCCTTGCTTCTCCAATCGTTCCCACGTACATCCATTCGGTAAATACTCCCGTACGTTTATACGTCCGCCAAAATCACACCGATAGAAATCGTGCGCTTCTCAAGCCCTGTCGGGAAACGGGCCGACGTGAGTGCATCCCGGCGTAAGGTGGCAAGATACTACGATGCTCCCGACGGCTATTTGATGAATATCTCCGTCGATGCTGTGATGTGAGTCGCGAATGACACAGACAACGTCCTGAAGAGGAATCGTAAACCCGGAGGTAGAACATGTCGGACGACAAAGCTCGGGAATAGAGAACAGAAGCCTCTGACTCTTCCGTGAGGGGGCAGAGTTCCACATTTCGGCTGATTCGTGGCTCCGATGAACAAGCATTGCCTCGAGGGAGCGAACTTTGACTGAGAGCTCGACGGTTTCCCGCTGGCTCCATAAGAGCTCATTGATGCAAGAGGAGAACCTGAGAAGCATACTCCGGAAGTCTGTTGTCGAAGCTCGCTGACACGAAAACATTGTCCCGCTCATCTTTAAAACAGAGAGATCTGGACAGAATGTCCGAGCTCCCGCAGCGCCCGATCTTATCGCACAAAAGTATGTATGGCTTTCATTGTCAGCAGTGTGGCTCCTCCTCGGGAGGATCGGCATCGCGTCCGTAGAGACTCGCATCGCGTCGGCTTCGGGGAAACCTGCGAGGGAGAAATGCACCGCTATCAGGTATCAGAGTACTATACGGTAGGCGCTCGCGAATCGCACGAATTTCCTTGGGATTCATCCACTGTGAGGGGTTTGCAGAGCTGCTGCGGAGAGCTGCCGACTCAGATTTTTTCCGCGTTTACTGGAACCCGATGGCTTTTCGACTCCGCTTGTCGACTTCCGAAACGATAAATCTCTCGAAGAATGACAGCGGAAGACGATTGTTGCCGCATCAGAATGAACTTGTTGGAGTCCCGTTCGGGAGGTCAACTCGGTATGCATACATACATAGTAGCAGGCGCCGAGCGGGGCGAGCGAGCGAGTGAGTAGGCGAAGGGTCGAACGACGAACAAGTTGCGTCGAGACTTGCGCAGATCGACAAGGACGCCAGCAGCCACCCAGCCAGACGAGCACTTGCGACCTCGAACCGAAAGGTTTGCCTTGGGTGGCCACCTGTCTGTCACGACGAACTGTTACGACGCCCTTCGCTGCCATAGTGCGCACTAAGTCGCATTGTCCGCATTATCTTCCATTTATCGTGCCACAGCCTTTGCAGAGCACCGAACTAGCTGATTTTCCGCACGGTGTTTTCGGTTGCGGAACAGCAATAGTATCAACTACCGTTGAGCTGATTGCATTACGATCTGGATGACACGAGTTCGCGCTATGCAGGGACCTGACATTGCGGAGCGACGACGACAGGAAGCCTGACAATCAGACCACACGCAGACAGACGAAGGTAGCCAGGAGCAACAAGCTGTTAGAAGCATTCGTTACGCCTGACCAACTCGTCTTTTATTTCCCTAGCCCTTCTCATGGATTTGTTTCTGGGAGACCGGTCCACTGGTCTTTCAACTTGAAATTATATCACGATCATCCAGCAGTGGATTCGATGAAAATGATCGCACGCTTCCATCGTCATCAGTTCAATAAATAACTCATCACGATGATGATCAGCCGGAGAGTTTTCTGATTGCGCGGTCAGCTGTTCCATAGATATCGAGAAAGCGCTCTGATGACGGTATCTGACTCCGATGTCAACCGACAAGGAAAGATGGACGCTACACGTTCCTTGGCATCCCCAGGCAAATTAGACGGTGGTCATGCCTCCCGATTCCTTTGCCAGCGAACGTATCAAGAAGACAATTCTGTGTCGAGTGGCGGTGATAGATCTCGGGACTCCCACATCGATTGAGGGGAGACTGGCTCTCGTCTATCTCTAACACGTTTCCTTTCCTCTTGCAGGATTCCGGCGGTATCTGCCTGGAGGCTGCCGACTGACGCCAGTTTCATTAGGGACTGATAGGACTGATCGGTGCCACCGCCGCCGATGATTCTTCGGCTCGTCCCTAGTCTGCTATTGATAAATCTCGGGGCCGCGCAAATGCTGCCTCCAAGCCTGAACACGCGGACACCCCACGTCCAGCAGGACGCGGTCCTCACGGAGCGCGTGGACGTGGGACAACTCGTCGGAGATGTGGGCGCAACGGCAGATTATTCTGATTCGTTCAATTTGAGCGACCCGTGTACGAACGAGAGCTACACCGCAAGCGGAAATTTCGAGCAGAATTGCTCGCAAATCGCCGTAACCTCGACCGAAGATTATGAACTCCTGGCGTTCCGGATCGTCTGCTACCAGTGGCTCATAGTGTTCATGTCGATAGCGATGGTCGCGTCGATCGTAACAAATTTGATGGTGCTATTTTCTGCGCGGTACATACGGAAAGTGACCCCGACGGTATTTTTCTCATTGAGTTTGGTCGCGGCCAACGCTTACGCGACCATAATTTTCACGCTATCGATGACAATAAACTCCTTCCTGACAACTTTCATCCGTTGGTCACCGAACGTGTGCTGGGCACTTCTACTGGAAGTCTTCCGCATGACGGGACTGTCAGCTTCGGCACTCCACCTCCTCGCGCTCGCCATCAATCACTACGTCGGCATCCTCCGACCGCTCCATTACGCGTCGACGGTCACACGGCGACGATTGACGCTGGTCATCATCGCGTTGTGGGTGGTTCCCTTCATAATCTACCTGTTCCTGTTCCTCGATCGGCCCGAAAACGATTTCTACCGAATGGACTGCAACTTCCAATTCATGAAGAAGTTGCCCTTCCGCCTAACGGTATCGTCTCTCTTCTGCGTGCCATTAATCATCATGACGGTTTTGTACATACATATTTTCATAACAGTCAAACGTAACCACAGCGGCTTTCTGATGGGCCAGAAGAACCAAGCCGGGAATCAGCACATCAAACGTAATGTAAAAGCGGTCATAACAACGTTGCTGATTCTCGGTACTTATCTAATAGGCTACATGCCGGCGGTCGTTTTCTACGTACTTACCTGCGATGAGTGTCTTTGTCCGCTTTCGAAGCTCTCCGGTCGCACTGTGACAGTTTTTGGAGTGCTCACCAATTGTCTGATTTTCGTGAAATGCCTGTCGGATCCCATCATTTACACGATCCGCATGCCGGAGGTTCGCAACGGACTCCGAAGGATGTGGCTCACTCGCTGCTGCACGAAGTATCTACCGGGAACTCAGGGTGGAAGCGACAGGAAGCGAACCATGACTTCAACGCGTAGCGATATGATTCCATTGAATCGTCGGAGCGCTCATGATAGGATCGTCGCCGGGAACTACGATGAGTCTCCCGCGCATAATGGCACCGGCTACAAGCATTTGCGCGCAAAGACAAGCCTCAACTCGGCCGCGAAGACCGAAACCGCGCTGGCGTGACGCAACTCGTATGCGACAGAAGAAGACGCAACGAGGAAATTGACGGAGAACCTCTTCGACGATTCATCGACGGAAGTCGAACGACTCGTATGAGCGCTAACGAGTCTTCTCGGCTGTTCACAAGGAGTTCACAGTCAGCATCACGGAAAATGGTGGATCGAATGATCGTGCTTCTTGCCCGTAACCATAAGTATGAATCGTCTCGTGAGCGTAAAGAGAAAATTATCGTTCGGATTTTTGAAAGCGATATGTGATGCTTTCATGGGCGATGAAGTGGAAATATATATGAATTTGTATTTATGTACATGTTTGGATAAAATGGCGTGTATCCGCGCCGTAATATGCGCGGGTCGATAAGGCGCATCCACATTGTGATATCTCATCCAGCGCAGTCAAAATGAGAGCTGACTGCCCGCTCTCATGCAGTGCTACTAATGAATTCGACATGCTGTCGGGTGGTTTAAGGAGAAAAGTAGTTTAAAAAGACCATCTTGAAAAAGAAAGCAGTAGTACCCCGAGGAAGATGGGCATCGTCTGATTTCCTAGAGAAAATAATAAAGAGAATGTTCATGCCCGTACATGAGCGGTACATCGAACGACGCCTATTTCATCTGAGCCGGAGGTCTGCGCAAGAGTCAGATATTTTTCCATGCGCCACCCGATTTATGGTCAATAATATGCCACGCTGAAGCGGCCGTGGTGGAAGAAGCAGATCGTTGGTTGGCTTAGAAAAAAAAGCCGGAAGGAAGGAGCGAACTACTACCGGATATTTGCGTGAAAACGTCTCACGCTATTGCGTGTTGCATGAGGCATGAGCCTGGCGCTTGGTGATCTGAGCCTTCGTGTTCATAGAAAATGAGGTGAGCATAGTCGTCATTTAGGGACCGTGGCAATGACAGTACCATGGTACTCACGTCGACGGGTTCCTTTTGACTTGCCCAACTATGGAATATATCGAATCCCGCCGACGCGCATCGCCATCTTCAGGTTTTAAACTCAGCGAACCGAGATTTCCGGTGTTGGCCCCTCGTGAGTGGGCTATTTGCTTCTCGACGATCTTCTCGGCCGTATCGCAGTTGTTTTAGACTGCCCTACATCCTCATCTGCCCTTGCTCTCCGCTTTTGTCGCATGATGGTGCTTGTCTTCGGTCTCATGCCTAACCCTAAGGAATCAGGTGAAACCCTTCGAAGACTATGCTACACACTTCGTAGTAATCTATCGAATCTCGCCGAGACCTCCATTCCAAATTTCGCATGGACGGGACAAGCTCAACCCGGAGCCTCGTACGATTCAAGAGAGACCTCAGTGCAGGAAACTTATTTGATGCGCGGTCTGGAAGTAGACCGGGATGGAACCCGCATCGCCGGAGCGCGTCTCTCCACAGAGGCGGGGGATGGGTATAACTACGAGCTAAATTAATCCGCGAATGAGGAGTCCTCAGTCAATTAAAGTGCATGTCCTCACCAAAATACATCAGGGTCTCATAACCTTCCAACTGCTTGAGCCAACCGTTCTCCCCTCATTCTAGAGAATGGTTATTCATGCGGTTTGATAGGGGTTTTCGAGAGATGACAGATATCATCCAATTGACCCTCCTTCTAAGCTAAGTTCCGGACGAAAATTGGTCGGGACAATGTCCCGCAAATTCGCAATCTCCCGACCCGATCCTCGTGATGATCCGATGCCTATCAAGGGAAATCCAGTCATCCGAGAACACTCCCAATAGGAAGCCTAGAATCCTCCTGGGAGAAGCGTCATTCCGGTCCGACGGTTCCCAGAAGATTTTTCGATTTCATTTTTTCTGTCAAAGATCCCGGAGGATTTTCGGCCTGATTTTTCTATAGTACAAGGAGTAGGACAAAAACATTATGAACCATGTGCCTCATATCGGCCTCGCGAGGAGCGACACTGGGCGGCCGTTTCCTGGTGTTTGAAGGAGCTCGAGAATCTTGGTTTATGGACGCCGATTCCGTAAACCGATTTGTGAGCGCTCTACGATCGCGACCAAAACGCTTGGGTCTCAAATTTCGCCAGATTCTCCCTTCCGCAGACTCAAGGCAGTCCTGCTCATGCCATATGTCTTGGCCAGGGGCCAGATAGCGTTTGCTGATGTCGTGTATGAGCTTTGAGGGGAGACGACCTTGAGACTACAGTATATTCGAAGGCTAAGTAAGGCGCCTGTTTCAGGACTGCGGTCTCCCCAAGATTCGAGCGAAGAGATGTCACGCGTTCCTATCGACGCGGGTTAGACAGCCCGCGGAGACTCCCTGAATTAGTAGGGGAAGGGACCTCATGGATAGCTAGCGGGGTACGGCTCAGAGATGGATCGAGCTCGAAAGGTACACAGGAGAATTTTTCATCGAGGATCCTCCGCAATACCGATGTACATGAATGGCAATGACTATGGATATCCCGCAATGTGAAATGAACAACATGGATTGGGTAGTGCAGCTTGTAGCCTCTCCAGCGGAAGAGTTCTCCTCCCGTTCGCCCGGGCTAGATGGACCAATTAGGCTTCTCCCCGATAATTTAAGCGGCAGGGCTAACTCGTGAATTAGCGATCTGTCTCCTGCACTCTCTTCACCATAGAATTCCGAAAACCGACGACAGAAGAATAATCTCACCATCGAGCCTCTTGGATCCAACCAGCCGGCCGGAGGGTGCCCCCATGTTCGATGCTTAGGGGCACGGCGTAGCCCGATGTCCTCAAAGCTTCCAAACGACCCCTTATTGTAATTGTCTGCTAGCGATCGTGAACTCGAATTCAACCTCCGAGCCGCGAGGTCGAAAACTTCATCAAGAGAGATTATGTCTGATCTCTATCTCTGTATGAACTTCCGCCGACTGCAGTGCAAAGCTCCACCAGTGCGTAGATTCGAATTCCGTTCTGTCTTCTCTGCGGATGTCATTATCACATCGCTCACGACATCATGCGATCCAGACACTAAGCTCCGCGATTTCAATTCAGATGAACAGTTCTACCCCACTCGCTTTCGGAATCCGTCTGTGTACATGGCCACCCGGAACGCCGGAAACACGCGGGGCGGTGACCGAGAGATAAGGGATCGCTTCGAGGTCGAACTCGCATCTCTGGTGCCGTCGAACCACCCAGTGAAATTTTTCCATTTTGAGAGCTTCCATCTACATGGGAATAGGATCTGAAGGACTCCGTCAACCATGATTCTCAACCTTCGATCGCGCTCGAGGAATCCTCTGATTTCAATATGATGACTCGGAGAAGCTCTTCCGGACCCGGTGACGGTAAATCCAGAATATCCGAAAAAAGCGGGAGGGAGACATTTGAAGACATGCCCGTGCTCTCCGGAGCAATAATCACTGGATAGTGACGATTGTGCTCGATTTCTCCGGAATACCTCCCGAGTTTGAGGCTTCGCTCCGGCTCGAAACTGGATCACTTCTCCAAAGAGTATGTGTAGGAAACTTTCCTACTCGCCGTGCCGGTATGAAACGAAGAAGATTCTGCGTGACGGTCGCGTGTAGTCAACACGCATGGCTAGGGAGCCCGGATGAGCCTCAAACATCGAGCTAGAGTGAATTCTGCCGGCACGCATGAAAGTGGATTCCTCGAATTCTCCGCCACAGAATTAGAATGCTTATCGTGTCCCGTGATAAGAATAATGTTACGGGAGGCAAGCTTCTTCGCAAGAAAATGTGAATGGGAAGAACGTGGGTTCATGTCGCGGTTTCACCGGGTAAAACATCTAATTCGGGGAAATTTCGAGTTTTGCCCTGGCTCATGGCTAAGCCCTCGGGCCGGACCCGATTTCCCGGAGGCGGTCGGAACGAAGCCGGAGAATGTTCCCTCATGACTTATGAGCGATCGATAAATTAGTAATTTCCTAGTTACCAGAATCGTTTCCGGTCGGAGAGCCAGCGAAATCGGTAGAACCAATGTCCGAGACTTGGTCTCTATTCACAATGATTTTTCTCTCCAGAAACAGCCTGGATTATCGAAATGCGCGTGCCTAAGAGTTTTATCCTGCGAAAACCCGTCGCTCATGTCAAACAATCAGCATTCGTCTCGGGCGAAGAGAAAAATGTTCCTCGATCGAGGCTTGCTTCCATGTCCCAGAGTTCTTCCAAATGGCCCCGCGAAAGTCCTCACCCATCAGAGTGAGCGCCTTGTAGCCAACTCGGGCCTCGGAATCGACATGCGGAGCTATTTGGAGGGCACCGGAGGTTATCGAGCAGCGAATGTCAGAATTATCGGCCGACCGATCCGGACGAGAAGCGGGACCGCCGGAATGCATTCAGTGTTATACATAGGATCCGATTATTTCCTTACCACGGATCATCCTCGAGAATTCCCCATATGCCATGCGATACTGACTGAACTTGAGCAGGATGATCCTGGGGCCCAGATAACCCCCGAACTCAGAAAATCAGGCGAGAGTATCCAGGAGTTTTGCGACCATTAATTCCCTAGCGAACGACGCCGGACCCAGACAACTTGCGATCCCCGAGCTCAGCTGCAGAAAAGCTACGGTCAAATTACTGTTTAACTATTCGCTCGTCCGGCCAGAGCATACGTGAATTCGATCGAGGTAATAGGAGAGCTGTAATCCTACGATGTCAACAAGTGGTAGCTGTCTCCGGACAAGCTCAGGCAGAACGAAGTCTCCCACTGCGATAGGGAGGAGCCATCAGTATTGGAAAATCCGAAGCGAGTAAATTCCCTTTCAGCGATGCGATGATGGAGAGTCTTGCTTCGACCACATGGGACACCGAATTAGCGGGAACTCAAAAGACGGAGCACGCTACAACGCCATAGGCTCCAGCAAGACCTATCGGTTGTTCGGCTACCGAAGTCACAATCAACGTCACGCTCCCGATAATTATACCCCAGGTCGTCCGGCATTTCCAGCTCCCCGACCCGAGACAAAGTTCTATGATTTATTGCGATTTCCGGCTTTATCAAAGCGCCGACGACGCATAGTCGAGGTCAGATTCCCTGCGACCATCCGATCGGCAGGGAAGCACGCACCAATCGGGACAACGCGAAAATGACCTCGGGAAGTCTTTCGAGTCTACGCGGTCCGTTTTGAGGTGCATAGCCGGAACCTCGAGTCGATTCCCTCTATACTCTGGAGTGCTATGATTTGAACGCATGCCGTCGATACACAGGAGGATGCTAGCTAAAAGCGGAGGCTCTCGATCGATGCTCGCGGTGCCTTACAATTGAGAGCCCCCTTGTGACTACGCGGCAGCTTTCTTCGTCGTGGTCAGGCGAATGTTCGAGGGAAGCTCTCCTGAGGTGCGCTCCCGCGGTTCAGCGAAGTGATC